AAACAAACAAAAAATGTTGCTTGGGGGGGGGTTAACACAATTAACACAATTTTAACACAATTTTAACACAATTAACACAATTAAAACAATTAACACAAATTCATGATTTCGTTCGAACCCCCCGAACCCCCCCTGGCTACGGGCCTGTAATATATATATATTATCAAGAGCTAATAATACATCCGGTATTATCCGCTCTTGATATTATATATATAAATATACATATATATATATATATATATTATACTAATTATTAATAATAAATCTCTATTACATGTAATTTAAAAACACAATAATGTACTAAAGGCCGTCTTCTTCATGATAGATGAGGTGTTGAGCGCATTCTACAAGCTATGCAAGTAAAGCACTTCAATAGAGTGAGTTCAGTAGTACAAACATATGAGTACAAAGGTACCATTGATATCATAATCATTTCAACACTATGTGTGCGCGCGTGCGTGTGCACGAGTGCGTGTGTGCGCGCGTGCATGCGTGTGTGCGCGCGTGCATGCGTGTGTGCGCGCGCGTGCGTGTGTGCGCGCGTGCGTGCGTGCGTGCGCGCGTGTGTGCGCGTGTGTGTGCGTGTATGCGCGCGTGTGTGCGCGCGTGCATGCGTGCGTGCGTGGTGTAGGCCTATGTATGTGTGTGTTGTGTGTGCGCGCGCATGTGTGTGTGTGTGAATCGGTACATATATGGGGTTAGAATTTGTACGAGAGTGAGCGCGTGCGTATCGCACGCGCGCACACACGCACTCGTGCACACGCACGCGCGCACACATGCACGCACGCATGCACACAAATTCATTATTCACCTATCTGCTGTTGGTAAAGTTGTATTTTTAACAATTTTAAAATGTACTTTTTTACCAATGGCTTTTTTGTATCTAATTGTAGTCTATACCATTGATTTATTTTTTCCTTAGTGATATATATATATATATCTCAGAAGTAGATAATAGGGAACTTTTAATCTTCCTATTATATATTAATCTACCCTATTTATCTACTTCTGATATATATATATATATATATATTATTTGTTGTTATCCGTTTTAATTTCCGCATCCTTGAATTTAGTGTAATATTTGTCAAGTATAGTAGGGGATTATTTTTGGGTGGTCTGTGGGTGGATGTATTTGTATATAAATACATGTATATTAAAGTAAATATGTGGTATATTCTCTGGTATCATTTTTATTGTATACCTTTCTTCATTCTATGGCCTAAATATATGGAATTTGTCTATAAAATACAATTTGAGAAATTAAAGTTAAAATTTATCTTCCTGTTTATTTCGGTGACTACAAAATATTTATTGTACATGAACCTCGTAAATCTCACCAGCATTTTCAAGTAGAATTAGCAAATTGGCCGATATAAGTATTTTAAATGGGCATCGTTAGCATATATCTTATCAGAAGTGAATAAAATTAAATGAAATAGGTATTCACTCCTGCATATATCACTATCAGCATCATCCCTATAATTAACGTACCATGTTTTTTTCATGCCATTAAGAGCTTCATAATTATACATTTCCATTAAAACTGCTTGTTATATAAAATCATTGTCTATAATATCAAGATAATATCAGGAGTGAATGAACATGTTTTGTTGTTTCTCATTTCATGCTTGTTTTCATTCACTCCAGATAATGTCATGACAACCTGCAATTATAGTTATTACACCATATGCAATAAGAAAAACTACTGAAGTGTTGACCATTCATAAATAGGTGGTAATTGCTGCATAAGAAACTAATAAAACTAACATATTCGCTTGCGATAATATACTTCACCACAACCAACATGTATATGTAATGTAGTGCACCTACTTCACACTTGCTATGTATTATCAGGAGTAGATAATAGTAGATAATATAGTAGATAATAGTAGATAATAGTAGATAATAGATAATAATAGAGTCTTCTATTATCTACTCCTGGTATTATTATAGCAGAAGGCAGTTGTAAAAATGAGCAGGTCCAATGAACATTATGTCTATATTCCTTGACCTATTTCCAGAATAAGACCATAACGTTTTTATAGCAGTTAACAGATTACTAGTAACACAACTACCAGCTGCAATATTTCATGTTCCAATTGCATTTACAAAGTTTCTCCTCAGTTCATGTATGTTCCCATTAAAAGTATAAGAGCTTTTTCACATAATAGACCACAGATAGACTCATTGGATCACTGAACACTGGACAACCCTAAATAAAAAAATCTAAATGAACGTCTGCACGGCTTCAATATGATATCTGCAGTGCGTCATTTGGTTTGTAGACTAAGTTCTCCTTGTCATCCTCTGTCAGTTCCTCCAGGTTACGCACGCACTTGTCGTGATCAGCAAGCATGCTGGGAAGGCTGGCGCCACTCAACTCCCACCGCGTTGACCTTCGCACGGGAGTGACAATCGCCGAAGGTGTTGGCAGGTCAAGGTCAAGTGCCGACTTGACCTTGCGGAATATCGGCGTGTTCGTCGAGATGCTGTACTTGACAACAGTTGACTCAAACATGTTACATTCCTGCAGCGCCTGCCTGCCTCTGTTCCCCGATGAGACAACAACTTTACCATCATTTGTTGCAAGGGACAGACTAGGAGCGCCCTCTGTCCAGCGCCGTCGGTACTTGCGCTTGCTGGATGCAGAAGTCCCGTGCGACACATCGGACCCATTTGGCGTATCTCCGTAAATTTCATTGCCTGAATCTGTAAAAAGATTCGTTTCGTGGCCACCAGATGGCGCCGCCGTCTCGACTGGCTGCGACTTCTTCTGCAGTCGCTCCAGGAACTGCTGCATGGCCATCGCAAGCTCCTCAGCCGGTTTCGCGGCATGGCGGGCGATGGCGCGGTTAAACACTTCGAGCACGGCGGCGGTGTCTCCAGTGCGCTCCACCAGGCGGCTCTGCACGACCCAGTACTTCGCCGTGTGCTTAGCGAGAGGCATCTGCTCGGCGATTTCATCGAGCCACTCAGTGATGCTCTCCGTCGGACAGCCCTCGTCAACGAGCTGATTGCATTCCTTTAGACATAACAGAGAGTGACACTAGTGACACACACACTCGTGATAACACTAGGATTGAGTGGAGTACGAACTAAGAGACTAGAATCGAACAGAACCACGACTAAAACCCTAATTCCCGTTCCTAACCCTATTCTTAACCCTAATTCATAACAGAAGTCTCAAAATCCTAACCCTAACAAAATCCCTAATTCATAATACAGGTCCTTAATTCCAAATCCTGACCCACTACTAACCATAATTATTAACCCTGGCCCTACCCCTAACCATAATTCACAACCTTAACGCTATTGTAACCCTAACCTGTATAACTGCTATTACCAACTTTACACTCTGGGCGTTGGATCACACACAAGTGACTAATCACACAAGTAGCAATATCACTTGACTATACACAGCTTTCAGCTTGCTAGTTGTTTACTGAATCATGTCATTGTAGAAATATCACAAACAGGTTTCTAACCCCATTACTTCGGTTGATGAATCGAGATGCTCTTAGTAGTTAGGTTTTGGGAATTAGTCACAATTTGTTCATCAGCTTACCTGCAGAAGTCCACTTAGTTCCTCGAAAACCAAGTCTTGTCTTTTCACGATAGCATCACCCATGCTCGCTAAAGTCTCCTCGAGGAACTGTCCAACTGGTTTCGGCTTTGCTGGACGTGCAAGAGTAGGCATACTCACGCGAGACTTCAAATTACGTTTCTCCTGTGGCAGAGCTTTGTTGTGGGGATGGCAGCCAAAACACATCATGTGCCGATAGCTGAAACATGCAGTTCAAACTTCTAATTTCAACTGTTAACATCACCAATTTAAAAAAAAAAAAAAAATTAATTGGATCTTAGAAATGAGACGAATTGACCATAACTATCAATTATGATAGCTCTATGCCTAACTGATTGCAGATATGACAAAACCCACCCTTGGAGAGAAGTTGGATTTAGTATCACGTGAGAATTAACAAATTATTTTCATTATATGTATCAATTATGACAAATAGAATTTCACAATACCGGGTGGGAGTCTTGCTTCTCGATTCCAACCATGTGTTGAGCTTTTGCTTGATGTTTTCCTTTTCTACCTTCCTGCCCTGCAGCGGTGTTGAGATGGATTTTCGAGGCGATCGTCTCTGCATAGTCGCAACAGATCGCCTGCGGGGCGAGACCTTTGTAGGAGTAAGCAAACTGGGCCTTCTCCTACATTCCTTCGGTGCAGGAGAAGGTAGTGGGATGGACGACCTGCCGGGTGTCTTCACTGGTTTGAAGTGGCCCTCAGCGCTGCCTGACAGCTTGCTGGAGAAGTGGACCGTGCGGCGTTTCTGCTTTATCGGCGGGGTTGCCACGGGCAGGTCCCGGCTGTTGCTCTCGTCAAGTTCCAGTGTGAAGGAATTGGTTCGACGCCGCCGCTTCTGCGAGGTCATCTCTGTTCCACTAGAGGGCGCTTTTGGGGTTGTAAGGATATGCTGCCTACTTGGTGTGACCCGAGAGACGGTGCTGTTATTGGCTGAGCCATTTGCTGCATTATTTAATGATGCTCTTTGTGGCTTGTCTGATCCGGGTACCTTCTTCTTGATGAGCTGAGACCTTGGCGACCGTGCAATCGCAGAATTGCGAGAAGTTGTAGCAGTTGGTAGTGCCACTGTTGAGCGACGAAACTGTGAGCTGATACTCTTCCTAATATTTTTAAGATTTGGGCTGCGTTTTGCCAACACTGTAGCTACGTTGGTTGACTTCTTAGTGGCCATGTTAGTAGTGTGTTTCGCCACCGGTTTTGTCATGGACGATTTTCTTACAACTGGCTTTCCCATCTTCGTGGTCATTGGCTTCACCGGCTTGGGTTCTTCGACTGATGCTGACACCGAATTCGTTGTGCTGTTCCATATCTTGGCTTCCTGTTGTGGGTTCATTACTTTGTCATGAAAGTGTGAGCTGAAGCTCTTCCTAGTGTTTTTCACACTTGGACTGCCCTTTGTCAACATCACAGCCATTGGAGCTTCCCTAGTTGGCTTAGCAGTGGCCATCATGTTACGGGTAGGTTTCCCAACAGGTCTTGACACAGACTGATGTCTTGTGACCGGCTTTCCTACCTTTGCGGTCAGTGGTCTATGTTCTTGGCCTGTAGCAGATGCATTCATCACACTGTTCCACACCTTTGGTTTCTGTTGTGGTTTTGGTTCTGTGGCACGGTTCTCCTTCATCTTTCTCCACGTCTCTAGTCTCTCTCTCATCGTTATGCCCCCGTCTTCGTGGGGTCTGGCAGCGGCATGTTTAGTGCTGAGAGGCTGCTGTCCACTGCTCGTAAACGGTCTGCAGCTTTCACTTCGCTTTACCTACATTATGATCCACAATGAATGCATTCGATCTTCTATTACGATTGCAATTGTAAGATGTAACAATAATTTGTACCAACATATAGACTATGATAATGGAGATGTGGAGGGCATTTTATTCAAATTTTCTTGGAAAGCCGAAGACATTGATACTTATACGCATCTAAATTACTGATTTAAATTTGTTCTTACCAGTTTGCAAGCACGTGTGCCATCACGCTTGTTTTCTGTGCTATTTTTATTGGCGAATGGGGACTTTCTCTTGTGTAGACTTGTGTATGTGTTACTGACACTGTTATTGGCATCATTCCCAGTGAATTTCTTCTGTGATGCCCCAGTTCCTTTTTCATCAGCTGCTACAGAAGAGTTAATAATATTATTATTATTAGTTATTGGTAAAAAGCTTTCTTGAACCTATACAAAACATTTATACGTCCACACCTAGAGTACTACATCCAGGCCTGGTCTCCCTACTTTAGTAAAGACATTGAGCGTTCAGAAACAGAAACAGAGACATTGAGCATGATCATGGTCACGGAAAAAGTCCAACGAAGGGCCACCAAACTAGTATATATAGGTTAACCCTAACCCTAAACCGACCAGGCTCTCCGACTAGTTACACGGCTCTCGCCACGTAGTGTTAAGCGAGATGGGAACTTGTGGCTAACCCTAACCCTAGCCCCAACCCTAAACATACCTTATATAAAAATATAAACATACTTTATATAAAAATATAAACATAATGCTAAACAACCTAAAACTACCTCGGGTACATACTACATATATCATATGTATAATGTAGTAACTGATACGACAACGACCCCATCTGCGACACTGACAGAGTCTGAGCAGGATTATAACTTTAGATCGGTCAGTGGAGACAACTCGGCTAAGGTCATGTAATACTTATTAATTTTCCTTAACCTCGAGTCGTTAATGTGACTTACACTGATCACCTTTGTGCTTTATTGCACGAACTTGCTTGTTTTCGAGCGATTGAACAGATAAAAACATCCTGATTCATGAATCTGGCACCAAAGATTTTTAATGTTTTGATATTTGAATTTTACCGCCAGGGCTCTGAAGCGCATGTGATATTATAGAGGTCGCTGGTGGCGGAAAGCTGTGAAAGCGGCGCGCATCTTTGCTCTGGTACAGTCTACCACATCGTGGAGTAAAGTGGCTGTTGGTAGATTATGCTGATCAAAAACAAGTGTTTTCTCCAAATTAAGGTATTAACAATTAAATATACTTTTCGTACAATTATTCTAAATATTATTAGACGGGGTATCTCGTGCTTAGAAGTTTCGATGCAATAGAGTTATTCTGTAATCGCCTTTTTTACTGCACGAATTTATACGTCGTGTTTATTATGGTGACCTACCATTCCGGATTTGTTGGCTAGTTAGGTTAGTAGTAGTACTAGTACTAGTAATAGTATTAGTAGTAGTAGACCTATTACATTATCGTTGATAACAATGACGGTTAACATTGTGTCTGTAACTATGTTGAACTGTTATAAGAGAGGGAGCCTTACGCTCTACCTGGAACAAATGGGACTCTCTACTCTAGTCTAGACTCATATCGGGGGAAAAAATCGTTAAAATTGTGCGCAGTTTCATGGAACGTTCACACCAGCACACTGCACAGGCCATTGGACCGTTTCAATTATAATTATAAATGATTATTTACTACCAATGTTTTAATGTTTATCTACTATTTTACTTTCGCTTATAACTAGTAATTTAATGACCTTGTAAATTTCGTTCAAATGCTCTTCTGCAACACAATTTCATTGCATCATCATCTAGACCAAATAATTCTGTCCCATATAACCTTTTTTATGTTTTGGTGAGGGTTATTGGGACAGAACGGGGTTCATTGAAATTTCGTGAGATCGCATGCAAAATGCATGCGCTGCTAATGCGGCCCGTACGCCGCTATTGGCGCGGAAAAAACCCTACCGTTCCCTTCTACATGGCTTTACCTTGCTACTCATATGTGTATACATTCACTTCAATCGTTATTCACTTCTTAAAAGATTGTTTTTCAGGCCCCGCTTCTTTTCACTTTAGTAAATTACATTCGCCATTTACAAACAATCAGACCAATCACAGCGAGTCTTACAATAGCCTGGTTCTCGCTTGTATCTGTGGCGCTGCAGGAGGGCTGATAGACTTGCTCTGATTGGTCTGATTGTTTGTAAATGGTGAATGTAATTTACTAAAGTGAAATGAAGCGGGGCATGAAAAACAATCTTTCAAGAAGTGAATAACGATTGAAGTGAATGTATACACATATCAGTAGCAAGGTAAAGCCATGTAGAAGGGAACGTCGGTAGTTTTTTCGCGGCCGCAATAGCGCGTAGCGGGCCGCATTAGCAGGCGCATGCATTTTTGCATGCGATCTCACGAAATTTCAGATGAACCGCCGTTCTGTCCCAATAACCTTCACCAAAACATAAAAAAGGTTATATGGGACAGAATTATTCGGTCTAATCATCATCATGCCACTGTGCATTATTAACATTGCCACCCATTGGTAGGCCTCTATAGTATTATTAATATTATTATTAGTATTAGGAATACATAAATATTGAGACTTTGGAAGTAAAGACGACTTGTGTTTATTTACATTAATTTTATTATAGAATCTGTCCAAGTGCCTCTGGTCACGAGCAATGTAGACCTGCCGCATTTATTATTGGTGGTTGAAAACGCAGTCTTGGTGATGTTGCTCAATTTTCAGTAGAGGTAGAGTCACAATGATTTTAGTACAGGGTACTAATGGGCCACAAAGAGTGCTCAATCACTTAGTTGAAACACAATAGCATACATTACATTTTATGATTTGCAGAAAATAAGCCAATGATAACTTTTCTATTGTAATTTTAAAAAGGAATACTACACCATAGAATTTAGGGTATATTATGATAGTAAGTGCATAACTAATAGTATATACTTACAAATTTCTGTAATCATGCATTCACATTTGTCATAAAACAAGAGTGAGTTTAAAAATCTTTATTTTTGGCACTGCCATGACACACCGCGCGACGTGCTTCCACCATGACGAAGTTGCACCTTTGCCAATTTATTTGCACGTTACTGACCAAATGCTATGCACAAAAGTGCAATTAATTGTATACCGTAACTCAAGCTCGACACCACTAATTTTTTTTCAGTGCCCGATCGGGCACAGCCAAATCATATGATTTCAGTTTTTGGTGCCCGAAAATGAAACTGGTGGCAGCGCGAAAAAAACAAAGAAAAAATCTCCATAAATCTTGTTATTTCAATCTCGTATTGTAGTTATTATTAAAATTGGGCCGTCTGATGCACTGCACCAAGTCTTTAAACAAGACCCCACACAATGCGGCAACACACTGAAATTGATGATCATTGAGGCATACATTTGAATTATGCCATTCCCTGGATCAAATTTTCCACAGACATTCTTGTATACCATTTTTTCTACTTTTTTCACTCATATATTTATCTAAACAGCGCGACGTGCACATGCTATCGATCCAGTTCAGAACGTTCAGAAGATCAAAGTCACAGCGCATGCATAATTAAAACAAGTAACTGTAATACAAACAACAACACAATTGCTTTTCATGTTAAAATAAAACATATACTATTTAATCTCATGAAATAGTTAAAATGTCTGGCAGGCTTTGAAAACTGTAAAAATAAATATATGGAGATTTAATACAGATAGATATAGAACAATAATTATATCAACAAATAGGCCTGGGTATCGCATGGCATTTAAAAGAAAAGAGGCCATGTCTAAGTTCAATATGTTCTCGTTGCGTAAATATAGAGAACAGAGAAAATGCATAATACAACTTACAAAGCCAATATTACACCTTCGGTTAAAATACTGATCATCTTCAATAGAATAGTTCCAGGTTATTCCTCGGCGAACTTTTCGAACGCTGGCATTTCCGCTTCGGATCCGAAACAGTGACACAGTGCAGCGCTTAGCTTAGGAATCAAGGGTGACCAATGACGTCCAAGTATTTTGCCCATGTGCTCCCGCGTCCCGTACCGACCTTACCGGACGCATGTGTGTCCCGTATTTTAACATTTTCTAACGAAACTACAGCGTCAAAAAGAGAAGAAATTTCATATCATTTTAGTTATTATCGAAATTGTTTTTCGAAAACTGACTATCGCTCGCGTGTCATTTTCACACCAGCCGCTCGCACAGTACACACTGCAGGCAGGCGTAATTGTCTAAGCACGCTTGTCTGGTTCGGCTGATACAATGTAATCATGTAATGCTGCCCTTGCAAATATGCTATGGCCTGCGCACGTCTCAGATTCTTGACTCTGTTAGACTGTTGCGCGTGCCGAACCTGTTCCGTCGCAGAGCGTGGTACATTAGTCTAGCAGAGCGTGAGGCCCGGATACCAGTCTAATACAATGAACGTGGCTTGTTGGCTAGCCGCAGTAGACGCGATAAACGCTGCGCCGCTGTATGCCCACGGTAGCAATGCTGGCACGTGGCGTAAGTCGTGCCGTCGGGCTCGCGCGAATTGCTCGCTCTCCTTTTAATGAAATTAGCACGTAAGAAAACAATTATTTTTATCACATAGACACTTTGTACAATTTTAGTGGCCGGCGATCGGCCACCAAATTTTAACTTTTTTGGAATTGTTGGTGGCCTCGACATCAGTTTTGGTGGCCACGGGCCACACGGGCAACTCGCTAGTGTCGAGCCTTGCCCTAACTGCTATTTAACGAACGATGTGTTTTTCTTGGATTAAATTTATCTCGCTATAAACTTTTAATCTAAAAAGTGTTTATAAGATTGAATCTTCTCTTAAATAATTAAATAAAAAATGACCATCGGTGTCTGAGCCTGTCTGTCAAAGCTGAGATTGCGCACTTGGAAAGTAGATGGTTAGTAGTGCGTGCCACGTCGTTGTAAGCATACGATTACCAGCCTTGGAGTTTTGAAACATTAAAAAAATATTTCTAATGAATATATTGAAATCAATTTATTTAACTGAAAATCATGCCAAGAACCTGTAGGTGTCTGTATCCCTTTGAAAAGGACTTGACCTGTTATAGAAAGGTGTATGAGTCTACTCTGTAATAAAACCGCATTTAATTTAATTGGCTGATTTATCTGAAGACTGGACAGTTAAGGTTAATTGGTGGCACTGCAGAATGCAGTATTTTAATTTTGTTCCTTAGGAATGGTTCATGTGTGGACGCTCAATGTCTGTATACTCATTTGATTGCAATACCCTGTCATCTCCAGTAGTGTCTCACTTTGCTAGCCTATTTGATAGGCAGCAAGTAGAACCAGAGTACATTAGTAATTTTTAAGAAAACCTTAGCAACTAAAGTACAAAGCACATATTTTAGTAATTAGCAGGTATGCAACTGCATCTTCGTGTGTTTCTATTGCATTGTACTGGCATTGCGTAAAAGTTGTAAAAACACTGTTCCCCTTTCACATTCTTACACCTACTGTAGTAGCGCTAGAGTGCAGAGCTGCAACCTGTTACGTATTGCCCGTAATTTGTTAAGGACGGCGAGTCAAAGAATTACTGGTGTTTCACGGAACCGAACTCCGGAAAAAATTACGGCAACAAGCAAGACAATCTCTGAAATTTATATTTTTTATATGGCAAAAAAAAGCAATAAACACGTGTAAATAATCAACTATATCACTGTAAGCATGACTACTGTGTCTGTAGATTTGAGACTAATAGCTCTTAACAACGTAAGTACTCACTGAAAATGGTAAATTATGCTTGTTTATGCGGCTCGTCTGTTCTGGTTTATGCGAGCTCATTTTGAATGACGTCACGATCCAGAGAATAGTAACCGCAATGAAGGCTATTTCAGCAATGCACCGTGAGAGATAGAATTAGGATATTTTGTGTGTGTGTGTGCGCGGCGCACTCTTGTGTGTTATGCTGTGGACTGCCAAATTGACAATCTTTATGCTAAATTATTTATTATTTACGTTGTAATAAGACTGACAAAAAGGTGTTACCCCTGACAAACTGCCTATTTGTTACAGGAGAAATCCAATAATTTATTACTGATTACATCAGATGGGGTCTGGCAGGCTGCCTCAGTGTAATGTTTGTTAACATGTGATGCTTTAACTAGTAGGACCCAAGAGATATGTAGGAAGAGGCTCTCTTGCTCATTAACTAATGTGACGACATAGTGATTGCCTGATAGAAACATTCCAACGAAGA